GGCGTAGCGCTTCTGACCATAGGTGCTGGAACTAGGGGTGCTACCGCACCCCCTGGCGTTTAGTGGTTTCCATTATATACAGCCAAGCGTTTACAGTTTAGTTCAATGGCGCTCAGCACCCCTGCTTCTCCCAAACTATGCCAATACTGCCTCCCCCCCAGCATGTACCTCCCTAGAGCACTGCATATGCGACTGTCACCCACCTGAAATTCAGTCCCTAATGTTCTTTCTTAAGCTAAAATCCTTAAACCCGAGCTCTATACACGGTCTTGTCAGGCATAAATATTGAAACTAGACGTTCTTTTGCCCTGCAGGCAAACCCAATTCTAACAACCGATGAGGAAGAATTTTCGTCAATTACAACTGGTGCTTTGGCTTAGAAACTAATGGGACCCTGTGGCTCCATTTGTGGTATCTCTGTGCAGCTGTGGCTGGACATAAAGCAGATGTGCTTAGGTGGAGCTGGTTGAAAACATAATTTACAGATTTGTGAAAAAGGTGCCAAAATCTCAGAGCAAAACAAAAATAAACCTGTTTTAAAAAGTGAAATAAAGATGTTTTAAATAAGAATAATAAAAAGAAAAGAAATGTGCAGTTATAATTAGGTAGTTCATTGGAGGAGTGGTAGTTTAACATTCTGCTTTGTCTTAAAAAGACAAGAACCACAGTTATTAGGGAGACATGTTAGTAAAGGCAGATACCTGGAAAAGAGGAAACTAAGGGGGGATATGATAGCTGTATATAAAATCATGAGTGGTGTGGAGAAAGTGAATAAGGAAAAGTTATTTACTTGTTCCCATAATATAAGAACTAGGGGCCACCAAATGAAATGAATGGGCAGCAGGTTTAAAACAAATAAAAGGAAGTTCTTCACACAGTGCACAGTCAACCTATGGAACTCCTTGCCTGAGGAGGTTGTGAAGGCTAAGACTATAACAGGGAGGTTATTCATGGAGGTTAAGTCCATTAAGGGCTATTAGCCAGGATGGGTAAGGAATGGTGTCCCTAGCCTTTGTTTGTCAGAGGGTGGAGATGGATGGCAGGAGAGAGATCACTTGATCATTACCTGTTAGGTTCACTCCCTCTGGGGCACCTGGCATTGGCCACTGTCAGCAGACAAGGATACTGGGCTGGATGGATCTTTGGTCTCACCCAGTATGGCCATTCTTATGTTATGTACCAACACTGTTGGAAATATATAAAGCTTAGTAAGTAAAATAGATGATCACTTAGCTATTAAATGGGCCAAATTCTCTCCATTGATTAATATAAAGCCTAAGTTCTCCATAGAGTTACAAAAGATGTATGTCTATGTAAATAAGAGCTGAGTTCCGCTCCTCCTTTGTTATAGTTCCATAGTAGAATCACCTCAACTAGATATATTCCACTTTTTATATTCTGAAACTTCAGACACAGAATCTTAACATGTTTCAGACAAACCACATTTTATAACGTATGGGTGAAAATCCTGGCCCCATTAAAATCAATGTGAATTTTGACTGGCATAACTCCATTGACTCCAATGGATTTATATCAACAGAGAATTTGACCCAACATGTTTATAGGTGAGAGACCTGAATCATCATGATACTACATGGCATCTTAGAAACAACAACTAATTAATTCTCACAAAGTCTCTGTAAGACAGATAAGTTGTATTACTCTCCATTCAGATAAGGAAACTGAGGCACAGAGAACTAAAGGGACTTGGTCAAAGTCACAGAGAATCAGTAGTAAAGCTGGGGTTAGAACTCATGAGTTCCTGGATGGCAAGCCTATGTTCAGGTCATTAGACCATGCGTTAGACAAGATACCATAAAATACTAGTTCACCGATTCATTCTGACCTTCCATATAATGCAAGTAATAGAATTTCACCCAGATACATATATATGGAGCCCAATGACTTGTGTTTGACTAAAGCATATCTTCCAGAATGGCAACCATTCTTGATTTGAAGCTATCAAGACATGGTGAATCCACCATTTTCCTTGATGAAGACCTTTTATTCCTTTTATGGTAGGGCCTTATCTTTTCAAAAGCACCCAATTTGATCAGCAGACTGAGATGATGTGGAGATACTCTGTAGTGGGTTACTCTGCAGGACAGGCCGAAACTGCACAACATATGGACACCCTGTCCATTCCTCTTCAGGCATGCAATTTCCTCTAGTTACACTCATTACAGCAGCAAGGAGGGCAACGGTATAGGAACATTTATGACATCTCTATGCCACTAGAGGATCCCCTGGAATTAGGATAATCCTGGGGCAAATATGCTGGTTCTACTGCTAGATTCTGCCTGTGGTGTGGTACAAAGTGGCTGCACTGCACTGAATGATCTGGCCCTTATTCTGGGACTTAATGTTGCAGATGATATTACTGTCAAACAACTCTGCTGTGAGCACCAACCCTCAGAAAGCTGAGCTTTCTATAAAAGAATCTAAATGCATTGTTTAAATGCCTTCATTTATCTGCTGTGCTAAGTACCTCTGGTGCTGACAAATATTTTAATGCTCCATTTATTTCAATGGAATGTTTGTTGTGGGGATTTGCTAGTTGAGATTTCTAACAGGAGAGAAAACCTTTTACCTCTAGGTCACTGGCTCAAATCCAGCTGAAGGTAGTGATGATGTAAAGCTCTTACCATTGGCTGCTCAGTGGCCTGCGTGAAATGAATTTGGTACTCATTGCAGTTTTCAGTGGATGCTGGAAATGTGTCCAACTTGTAATAGTATCAGAGGGGTAGCCACTGGCCATCACCTACAGTCCTCAGCTTAAACCTCTCCAACGCATCATCAGTGATCTACAACCCATCCTGGACAATGATCCCTCACTTTCACAGACCTTGGGAGGCAGGCCAGTCCTCGCCCACAGACAACCCGCCAACTTTAAGCATATTCTCACCAGCAACCACGCACCGCACCATAACAACTCTAACTCAGGAACCAACTCATGCAACAAACCTCGATGCCAACTCTGCCCACATATCTACACCAGCAGCACTATCACAGGACCTAACCAGATCAGCTACAACATCACCGGCTCATTCACCTGCACGTCCACCAATGTTATATATGCCATCATGTGCCAGCAATGCCCCTCTGCTATGTACATTGGCCAAACTGGACAGTCACTACGCAAGAGGATAAATGGACACAAGTCAGATATCAGGAATGGCAATATACAAAAACCTGTAGGAGAACACTTCAACCTCCCTGGCCACACAATAGCAGATGTAAAGATAGCCATCTTACAGCAAAAAAACTTCAGGACCAGACTCCAAAGAGAAACTGCTTAGCTCTAGTTCATTTGCAAATTTGACACCATCAGATCAGGATTAAACAAAGACTGTGAATGGCTATCCAACTATAGAAGCAGTTTCTCCTCCCTTGGTGTTCACACCTCAACTGCTAGCAGAGCACCTCACCCTCCCTGATTGAACTAACCTCGTTATCTCCATACTGATTTATACCTGCCTCTGGAAATTTCCGTTACTTGCATCTGATGAAGTGGGCATTCACCCACGAAAGCTTATGCTCCAATACTTCTGTTAGTCTTAAAGGTGCCACAGGACCCTCTGTTGCTTTTTACAACTTGTAATAAAACACCAAAGCATTGATTCATTGGCATTGCAACTGCCTTCCCTGGAAGAAGCCAAGAAAATTCTTTTATCAAACACTCCTGAAGGGAACGGGGAAGCTTGCACTACCAGCTGCTTGAGATGTATCTGTTCTTTTGGTAAATAAGGTCCATGCTGTTGTCTATAAAGCACCTGACAAACTGGTGGTGCTTCTATGTAAATAGCAAACAGACAACCTCAGTTGTAAGCACACTCAAGCCAGCAAGTTTGACTAACACCAAACATTCACAGAGATTAAAAATTGGATAATTTGCTAGAAGCAAGCATGAGCAAAAGCAGTGAAAGAGTTAAATGGCTGATTAGAGAATGAGTTCTTGTAAGTGTTTTAGCAATTAGAATGGACTCAGATTTAATTTTTTGACATATAGGAAATTAAATGTTTTTGTTGGTAGTATTATTAAATAGTAACCTTCATGTGCCAAAACAGTGTTGTAATGCATTCCTAATTTTATTTTGTATAGCAAGAGTAGCAAGACATCATTGCTTTCAAATTATGACCCAAATCCTTTCTCCATATTTCTTCTCATGTTCATTCCTTGCTTTCCCTCTCTTTCTTTAAGGCTTAAACATGCTCAAGCTGTCTTCCATTTCTGTTTTTGTTTGTAATTTCCCAACGAGCCTTTTTTCCTATTGAAATGATTCTGCTGAAGGCAGGAGTTTGCAAATTATAAACAAATTGTGACTGTGTGAATGTAATTAGATAGGTTGGAAGTTTATTAGAGGCAGATAATTTGGCTCTTTTCACATATACAACAAGTTACAAATAATGCCTTAATTTGGATGAAAGTATTGCTGGTTTAATTATATATATTATTCCAGAACTTTCATGTAACTTACTTACAGAAAAGTCCCCAAATCACATAACTGTAGATATTTCACAAATGTATTGAGAAAATATTTATAGGTTATTATATACATTAATAACCAATATGTTAATTTTTTACATTTTATCGAGGGAAAGGGTGATAAGAACATCGTGTAGTGTGACTATGCTGATGTTGCTGGAAAAAATAATTTTTAATTTCCTGAGCTCTTGACCTTGTAGTCTTAATGTTACATTAACACTGGAGTTTTGAGTTCTTTTCTTTTCTTCTATGTGCAATGCATCCATTGTTAAATGTACACCTGTAGATTTAAGAACATTTTCTATTGCACATGCTCAGTATGCAGCTTTTAAATGGTCATTTTTGCTAATTAACAAATGGGGCAGAAGAGGTTCAAAGTAAGCCCTGTCTAAAAATGTTTGTTCAGAATTTTTGTAAATGAGAAATGTATATTTTATTACACACACAGACACAACCTCAACAAACTCAAAAACAACTGAAGAGATTTTGATCAAACATTAAGAAAAATAATTACCTTTGTACAGAAATCAAGCTTGGACAATTTTCAACCCAAAAGATGGATGTTTTGGCAAATAATGAGCATGGACAGCAGACAGAACTGAAATGATTTTGCAGCTGTAGGCCCAATTCTGCAATGAGATTACTCCAAGTAGTAAGTACTACACTCAATATTTTCAGCATTGAGCCCTTTAAATTTATAACATAATTTGTGATATAATATCCAAGTGGAAAAGTATCATATCCAAATGGGAAAAAGGCACACACCCTTTTAGATTACATAATCATTCAGCAAAAATATGACTCATTACTGTTACCCTTCTATTTTTTGAACGTCTATAAAACAAGGAATTTTAAAATAGAAATGTCAGAAGTACTGTGTAATGGAAATCTGGAACTCATTTATTTTACAGTACATTCACATGTCTTTGTTACTTTCACAATATCATTTTACAGAATCCTGTACTATAGGATTAGTTTATTTATTTCCCCTAGACCTGATTCTGCCACCCTTATTCACATGGAGAAGTACCATACTGTATGGGTTGTCCCTTTGATTTCATCTGGGCTACTTGTGGTGTAAGTGACTACTCAGTATGAGCAATGGTGGCAAACTCAGATCCTTTGTAATTAGTAGGCAAACTACATTGTGAACTCTTAAGTCAGGGGATAGCATGCAAAACCAAAAGGGAAACAGAACTTACTAGGTAGCAACGTCTAATTTTTATCCAGTTACCTTGTTAGAAAAAGCATATGGGCTTGATCATGCCATTTAGACACAGCCCATAGTGTTCTGTTCCAACTTTGCAGAATGCCTCCCAGTGTTCCCTCACATGCAGAGAGGCAATTCTATCTTGCAGCTACACAGGCCATGCAAGAGGTATAAGGAGGGATCCTTACATTGTGCACCCACTTAAGACCCAGGCAGAATTTAGCCCATTGCATTTGCTTTGGGCCTGATCTTGCAACTCTCACTCACATTTAGTAGCACTTATGCAAGTATTCCTATTGAAGTCAATGAGAATATTTAAGTAAATACATACTACTCAACCTGTGTAAGGATTGCAAAATGAGACACAATGGAAAGCCCTTTGGTGCAGGGACTGTCATTGCTATATGTATGTACAGTGCCTAGCACAATGAGGTCCTGGCTGAGGTCTCTAATTGCTAATGCAATATAAATGTTAAAAACAATAATGGGTAATTCTCTGAGCTAGAGCAACAGACAGCACTAAAGGGCTATAAAGTTGGTGTAGCTGGCTACCTGGGGATTCCCCTGGGATAAGCAGTTCCATACCAGCCCCACTTACTGCCCTCCTTACAGTTGCACTCCAGTTATTCCCAACAGTGGAATGGATCCTTTGGGCCATGGGCACAGGGTGAAAGCAGCCTTGGCCAGCTTCAGACCAGACTTGGGACCTCAGTCTCCAAATCACCTACACAAAAGTCTTTGATATTAGATTAGATCAGATTGAATAACGATAGACAAAAGTTCTAGAGGTAAAGGGTCAGAACATGCCTGTCAGGGACAGCCCAGCACGAGAGGCAGTGCCGAGCCGTATTACCCTAGGGCCTGGTCTACACTACGAGTTTAGGTCGACTTTAGCCGCGTTAAATCGACTTAAGCCTGGACACGTTTACACTACGAAGCCCTTTCTTTCGACTTAAAGGGCCCTTTAAACCGGTTTCTTAACACCACCTCGACAAGGGGATTAGCGATAAAATCGGCCTTAGAGGGTCGGAATTGGGTTAGTGTGGACGGAATTCGACATTATTGGCCTCCGGGAGCTATCCCACAGTGCTTCATTGTGACCGCTCTGGACAGCACTCTCATCTCAGATGCACTGGCCAGGTAGACAGGAAAAGCCCCGCGAACGTTTGAATTTCATTTCCTGTTTGCTCAGCGTGGAGAGCACAGGTGACCATGCAGAGCTCATCAGCACAGGTAACCATGATGGAGTCCCAGTCCCAGTCCCAGGATCGCAGAAGAGCTCCAGCCTGGACCGAACGGGAGGTACGGGATCTGATTGCCATCTGGGGAGATGAAGCAGTGCTCGCCGAACTCCGAAGCAGTAAAAGAAACGGCAAAACATTAGAAAAGATCTCCAAGGCCATGAAGGACAGAGGCCATAACAGGGACACACAGCAGTGCCGCGTGAAAATTAAGGAGCTAAGGCAAGCCTACCACAAAGCCAGAGACGCAAACGGAAGGTCCGGGGCTGAGCCGCAAACATGCCGCTACTACGAGGAGCTGCATGCCATTCTAGGGGGTGCAGCCACCACTAGCCCAAGCATGTGCTATCAGTCCCTCGCTGGAAACAGGGAAGCGGGTTCGGCGGACGAGGAAGATGAGGATGGAGAGAACATAGATAGCTCACAGCAGCAAGGAAGCGGAGAAACCAGTTACCCCAACAGCCAGGATATGTTTGTCACCCTGGACTTGGAACCAGTAACCCCCGAACTCACCCAAGACCCTGAGGGCACACAGGGGACCTCTGGTGAGTGTACCTTTGTAAATATTACACATGGTTTAAAAACAAGCGTGTTTAATGATTAATGATTAATTTGCCCTGGCAATCGCGGCCAGTACAGCTACTGGAAAAGTCTGTTAACGTGTATGGGGATGGAGCGGAAATCCTCCAGGGACATCTCCAGAAAGCTCTCCTTCATGTACTCCCAAAGCCTTTGCAAAAGGTTTCTGGGGAGGGCTGCCTTATCCCGTCCGCCATGGTAGGACACTTTACCACGCCAGGCCAGTAGCACGTAGTCTGGAATCATTGCACAACAAAGCATGGCAGCGTATGGTCCCGGTGTTTGCTGGCATGCAGACAACATCCATTCCTTATCGCTCTTTGTTATCCTCAGGAGAGTGATATCATTCACGGTCACCTGGTTGAAATGGGGCGATTTTATTAAGGGGACATTCAGAGGTGCCCCTTCCTGCTCTGCTGAACAGAAATATTCCCCGCTGTTATCCACGCGGTGGGGGGGAGGGGTGAAGTGACCATCCCAGAGAATTGGGTGTGTGGGGGAGGGGAGTTAGTTGGGTTTGTGCTGCATGTTAAACCTGAAATCGCAGCCCCATTTTAAATGGCCAACCAAACGGGTGCTTGGTATGGGAAGTGAGGGCAGTACTGTTTGAAACCATCCCCACATGTTAAGAAGGTTAAAAAAGCCCAAAGACTGTATGTCTTACCATGGCTGCCTGCAAGCTGAAATCTGTGTCCTGGCACTGCGTGAGTGATCTCTCACACCAAACCAGGAGACTCTCAATATAAGAGGAAAAATGCGACCTTGTAACGAAAGCACATGTGCTGTGTGATGTTGTGAACAGCAAAATCTAACGTGAAAGAGTGTACCCATTGTTCTCTAAAATGTATCTTTTTTAACCACCTCTCCCTTCTCCACCAGCTGCAAATCTTACTCCTTCGCAGAGGCTAGTGAATATTCGAAGAAGGAAGCGAAGGACGCGTGACGAAATGTTTACTGAACTACAGACTGCCTCCCACGCTGACAGAGCACAGCAGAATGCGTGGAGGCAGTCAATGACTGATTTTAAAAAAGCCCAATATGAGCGAGAGGAGAGGTGGCGTGCTGAATCGCGGGCTGAAGAGGAGAAGTTGCGTGCTCAAGAGGAGAAGTTGCGTTCTGAAACGCGGGCTGAAGAGGAGAGGTGGCGTCAACTTGTACTCAGAAAGCAAGAGTCGATGCTCCGGCTGCTGGAGCATCAAAGTGATATGCTCCTGCGTATGGTTGAGCTGCAGGAAAGGCAGCAGGAGCAGAGACCGCCGCTACAGCCCCTCTGTAACCAACAGCCCTCCTCCCCAAGTCCCATTGCCTCCTCACCAGACGCCCAAGAACACGGTGGGGGGGCCTCCGGCACCCAATCACTCCAGCCTAGATGATTTCCAGTGCAATAAGTTTTAAAGTGCACTGTGTCTTTTTCCTTCCCTCCTCCCCCACCCATCCAGGCCTACCTTTGCAATTATCCCCCTAGTTGTGTGCTGAATTAATAAAGAATGCATGAATGTGAAGTAACAATGACTTTATTGCCTCTGCAAGTGGTGCTCGAAGGGGGGAGGGTAGTAGGGGAGGGTGGGGTGGTTGGTTTGCAGGGAAGTAGAGTTAACCGGGTGGGGGGGGGAGGGGCGGAGGGTTCACCAAGGAGAAACAAACAGAAGTTTCACTCCGTAGCCTGGCCAGTCACAAAACTGGTTTTCAACGCTTCTCTGATGCGCACCGCGCCCTGCTGTGCTCCTCTAACCGCCCTGGTGTCTGGCTGCGCGTAATCAGCGGCCAGGCGATTTGCCTCAACCTCCCACCCCGCCATAAATGTCTCCCCCTTACTTTCACAGATATTGTGGAGCGCACAGCAAGCAGCAATAACAATGGGGATATTCTTTTCTCTAAGGTCTGAGCGAGTCAGTAAGCTGCGCCAGCGCGCTTTTAAACGGCCAAATGCACATTCCACCACCATTCGGCACTTGCTCAGCCTGTAGTTGAACAGGTCCTGACTACTGTCCAGGCTGCCTGTGTACGGCTTCATGAGCCATGGCATTAAGGGGTAGGCTGGGTCCCCAAGGATAACGATAGGCATTTCAACATCCCCAATGGTTATTTTCTGGTCCGGGAAGAAAGTCCCTTCCTCCAGCTTTCGAAATAGAAGAGACTGCCTGAAGACGCGAGCATCATGTACCCTTCCCGGCCAGCCCACGTTGATGTCGGTGAAACGTCCCTTGTGATCCACCAGGGCTTGCAGCAGCATTGAAAAGTACCCCTTGCGGTTTATGTAGTCGGTGGCTTGGTGCGCCGGTGCCAAGATAGGGATATGGGTTCCGTCTATCGCCCCACCACAGTTTGGGAATCCCATTGCAGCAAAGCCATCCACTATGGTCTGCACATTTCCCAGAGTCACTACCCTTGATATCACCAGGTCTCTCATTGCCCTGGCAACTTGGATCACAGCAGCCCCCACAGTAGATTTGCCCACTCCAAATTGATTCCCCACTGACCGGTAGCTGTCTGGCGTTGCAAGCTTCCACAGGGCTATCGCCACTCGCTTCTGCACTGTGAGGGCTGCTCTCATCCTGGTATTCTGGCGCTTCAGGGCAGGGGAAAGCAAGTCACAAAGTTCCATGAAAGTGCCCTTACGCATGCGAAAGTTTTGCAGCCACTGGGCATCGTCCCAGACCTGCAACACGATGCGGTCCCACCAGTCTGTGCTTGTTTCCCGGGCCCAGAATCGGCGGTCCACGGCATGAACCTGCCCCAGTAACACCATGATTTCCACATTGCTCGGGCCTGTGCCTTGTGAGAGGTCCATGTCAATTTCCTCATCACTATCGTCACCGCGCTGCAATCGCCTCCTCCTCAGCTGGTCCTGGTTTTGCTTTGGCATGTCCAGGAGGCTCTGCATATACTCGAGGACAATGCGCGTGGTGTTCATAGTGCTCATAATTGCCACGGTGATCTGAGCGGGCTCCATGATCCCAGTGCTGGCTATGGCGTCTGGTCTGAAAAAAGGCGCGAAAGTAGTATCTGACGGACCAGGGGAAGAAGGGAGGGAGGGAGAGAGGGAGAGAGGGAGGGAGGGAGGGGCGAGTGACGACATGGCGTACAGGTACAGGGAATTAAAATCAAGAAAGGTGGCTTTGCATCAGGGAGAAACACAAACAACTGTCACACAGAATGGCCCCCCCCAAAGATTGAACTCAAAAGCCTGGGTTTAGCAGGAGGGAGGGGGGAAGCAAATGAATACAGAAT